GTCACAGCAGCTGAGGTCCTGTTATACTTGTGGTGATCCGAGGCACATTGCTAGATTTTGCCCTATGGCATCGAGTATCTCACAACATCAAGGTTCTCATGCCATGGTCCCGGCACCGGGTGCTTCACGGCCCACTCAGCCAACTAGAGGTAGGGGTCAGGCAGCTAGAGATGGAGGTCAGGCCATTAGAGGTGGAGGTCAGGCCACTAGAGGTGGAGGCCAGCCAGCTAGGGCCCATCCTAGAGATGTAATTCAGAGTGGTGGGGCCCAATCCAGATGCTATGCTTTTCCATCCAGGCTTGAGGCTGAGTCATGTGATGCTATTATCACAGTTAATATTTCAATTTTCCACAGAGATTCTTCAGTTCTATTTGACCCGGGTTCTACTTATTCCTACGTGTTCCTATTTTGCTTCACATTTGGTTGTGCCGTGTGATTCTTTGAGTGCTCGTGTGTGTGTGTCCACTCTTGTCGGAGATGCTATTATTGTAGATCGTGTTTATCGCTCATGTGTGGGGACCATTGGGAGTCTTGAGACTAGTATAGATCTTTTACTTCTCGATGGTAGATTTCGATGTTATCGTGGGTATGGATTGACTGTCACCTTATCACGCTATATTGGATTGTCACGCCAAGACGGTGACCTTAGCCTTGCTGGGGTTGCCTCAGTTAGAGTAGAGAGGGATCCCTGGCCATGCTACCAGCAGAGTTATCTCCTATGTGAAGGCTCGGCATATGGTCGAGAAGAGGTGTCTAGCTTATTTGGCTTATGTCCGTGATTCTAGTGCAGAGGTTCTTTCCATGGATTCAGTACCAGTTGTTTGTGGGTTTCTAGAGGTGTTTCCTGCAGACCTACCAGGGATGCGATGCCACCCGATAGGGATATTGACTTATGTATTGATTTGGCTCCGGGCACCGTATGGGATATTAGGTCATCTAGTGTTCTAGAACCTAATTCTGTATTTCGAAGCCTCAAATATCTCATTTTAGCATGCCTCAATTTGCATGCGTAGTCTGGGTTTTTTTCAGAAAGCTTTTATGTTAAAAACTGAAGAAATATGAATTTTTGCCTTAAAATCCATCTGAGTTGATCCGGATCCATATTCTGACGGTCCCGGTGGGTCGTATGGTGATTTGGTACTTGAGCGTATGCCCCGAATCAAATTCGGGGGGTCCCTAGCTCGAGTTATTGCATTTTGTTGAAATTTGAAAGTTTAAAATCTTAATGACTTTGAAAGTTTGACCAATATTTGACTTTATTGATGTCGGGTCCGTATTTTTGTTCCAGAATCCGTTATAGGTCCATTACAATATTTATGACTTTTCTGTCAAATTGGTGAGAAACAAAGTTGGTTTGACGTGATTCAGACGTCCGGTTGTCAAAATAGAAGTTCTGAGTTATCATAAAAATTTTATTTGTGTTCAATTCGTAGTTCTATGTGTTATTTTGGCAATTTGATCACGCGAGCACGTTCGTATGATATTTTTGGATTTGTGTGCATGTTTGGTTTGGAGCCTTGAGGGCTCGAGTGAGTTTCGAATAGGCTACGGAGTGAAGACTTAGGAAAGTGCTGGTGTGTTTCAGTTCTGGTGCAGGCCTCAGACCTCGCAATTGCGAGGTCAGGCTTTGCATTTGTGAAGAGTAGCTGAGGCACCTCAAGTTTGCATTTACGAACAAGGTTCGCATTTGTGAAGTGGGGCTGGGAAGAGCTTCTTCGCACTTGCGATCATTTTGGTCGCATTTGCGGAGGGCTCACTGTTCTCAATTGAGAACTATTCATCCCAATTGCGATGACAGCAGAAATAGGGTGACTTCGCAATCGGGATTGTTTCTTCGCGTTTGCGAACCCTAGGTCATAAATGTGACATCTGCAACTAGGCAAATAGCTGACAAACAGGATTTTCTCTCATTCTTCAAATTTTCAAAACAAGATAACCCCAGAGGCTATTTTCCCAAGAACCCTTCTTCCCCAATCCATTGGTAAGTTATTCTAACCTATTTTCTTTCAATCTTTTATTACATTTCATAAGATTTCAACCTAGAATCTAGTGTTTTCATGGTGCAAATTGGGGGTTTGGGTAGAATTAGGGATTTTTTTAAAATTGGGATTTAGACCTCAAATTGAGGTTGGATTCCATAACAAATTACATAACCAGGCTCGGCAGTGAATGTGCATTCGGGTTTTGGTCCGAATTTTGGGTTTGGACCAAGCGGGTCCGGGAGTTGACTTTTGTTGACTTTTTAAAAAATGACCTAAATTGAACCTTTTGCAATCGTGGGTAGTTCCTTAGGCTTGATGTGAATTGTTTGGTTGGTAATTTGCTAGATTTTATTGGTTCGGAGGCTTGTTTAAAGGCAAAGATTTGGTTGATCTTTGAGTTGATCCTTTGGAGCGAGGTAAGTGTCGTGGTTAACCTTGACTTGAGGGATTAGGATTTGTTTGTCTATATGATACATGTTTAGATGTTTGGTACAACGTATATGTGAGGTGACGAGTACTTATGCGTTGTTGTCGGGTTAAAGCATGGGGGTGGGACTTGTTCCTTGTAATTTATTGCTTACTTTGATCATGTAATCCATGCTTAGACTAGTTACTATTAAATTGATCGTTCTTCCCACGTTTATGGGCTTTTTTGATAATTGAGTATTGTTTCTAATGCTGAGATAGGTTTATGGAACCATTTTTAACATAAGGCTTGTTCTTGTTGATTCTATCTCCCTGTTGTTACTTGTTCATTGTTATGTGGTAAAGGAGAGTATTAATGCACGAAGGGTGATTCCATGCCGTATGTGAGTGTTAATGCTCGAAGGGTGATGCCGTGCCATATTGTTTTGACAGTTAATGCACGAAGGGTTATGTCGTGTCGTATCTATTATTTTTTATGAAAGTGAGTGTAAAAGCACGAAGGATGATGCCATGACGTTAGTATTGTTTTACTGTGAGGTTGAGAGTAAAGGCACGAAGGGTGATGTCATGCGGTTTTGTTCATTGTGTTTACTCGTTTTACTAGTTAAAGGCATATTGACTCTGGTTATCATTTCTGTTGTAATTATCGTATTTTGTACCCCTTTCGCATATCCCATCCCAATAGTACATGTTTAGCTGTTATTTGTTATTATCTTGTACGTATACTGTTATCTGCACATGTTAATTACGTGGGTGTCATGTCATAGCCTCGTCACTACTTTGTCGAGGTTAGGCTCGACACCTACGGAGTACATGGGGTCGTATATACTCATTACACTCTGCACTACTTGTGAAGACTTTAGTACTGGCCCCGCTAATTGTGAGGCGTACAAGCTAGGATTTGCTCATTGGAGACTCGAGGTAGATCGCTAACGTCCGCAGACCTTAAAGTCCCATCCTATTTTCCCTATTTTACTGTTTCTTTTTGTTCAAAACAGTTGTGTTTATTTTAGACCCTATTTGTAGAAATTCTAGAAGCTCGTGAGTTGTGACTCCTGATCCGGATTGTATTAGATGTTATGGGCTTTTATGCTATTCCGCACTCAGTTTTAGCTTCTATTTGGCTTAATTGATCCTGTTATTGAAATTGAATAAAATTGGCTTAAAGAATCCTCTAATGTTGGCTTGCCTAGAAAGTAAAATGTTAGGCGCCATCACGTTCCCGAAGGTGGGAATTTCGGGTCGTGACACAGAAGCTTGGCTCCAAGATGGCAAGATCTGCACACAAGGTGAAACCGTGTAGTATGAGTACAATCGACCTCATATGCATAGTAACTATCCTGACTAACCTCGGTGAAGTAGCGACTAGGTCTCAGGTCAGTGATACTCACTTTACGTAACTTATTTAGCTCAATAACATATCTATGTACCCACCAACAATATAAAATTGAAGCAAGAAATACAGATACAACCAAATAAGGCACATAGAGAGTGTGTGCAAGTCTCTTAACAATTCAACATATAAAGAAGTTATGCATTTGTTATCAAATAACAAGTCAACAATTGCATATGGAGAAGATATGCACAGTGCTATTTCAATCTAACAACTCGACATATAAAGAAAATTTGCGTCTAACATCACCAAATCATCAAAGCTTGTATATAGGGAAGATATGCGTAACATGTCAAAAATTCTTTCACAGTTGCATAGAGAAGATATGCATGAAATATCATATCAATCCTTCGACAGTTGCATATAGAAAAGATGTGCATGAAATAGCAAGTAATCCTTTATCAGTTGCATAGAGAGAAGATATGCATGACTAGACAAGTCATGTTGCATAAATTCATATAGAGAAGATATGTACTTGATTAATTTCTTAAATCCTGAGCATTATAAGGCATATATACATTCTAGGACTAGCATACAAAGATTACACGCAGTAAAAGAATCATGTATACACCTAAGGAGTTTTCATATAGAGAAGATACAATAAATCCAATCACTGTCCAGTTTCCATAATCTGCGTGTACGTCATCAAGGAGAAACATGAGAGGACGACTCTAGAGGGATGGATACTTATCCACACGCTGCACGAACAACTCATGTGCTAACAATCCGTCCTATCACATAGAAGTATATACAAGAGTACATATATACCATAAACAATATCAAATTATGTACCCATGCACTGATAAATAACATGCTAAGGTGTATACTTGTGCTAAGTGTTAAATTATAGCTTAGATTAGGCGGATACGCCTCACGATAGCAAATATTATGCTCGAGCAGGGAATCAACTCCTACACAATGATCTCTAACATGATTCACTAAGTTCACATAGTCATACAAACATATAAAGCATGATAGCAAGAGGAATAATATCAAAATCAAGGCATAGTACAACTTAAAGACTACTGCGGTCATGAATCATACATAGAACCTGTATATATGCTCTTCGCATCTCACATATTTCAATCAGACAAATACAGTCATATCCTAAGGGTTAATTCTTTCAATAAGATTAGGCAAGATGCTTACCTTAAGCGGGTTAGTCTGAAGCTCCAAAATTATATTTCATGAGAAATTACCTCTAACTGGATCAAATCTAGCCAAACATCGACCAAGGAAGTCCACTAATGCCGTCGGAAACGATCCCAATCCATAATGTTTCGATCATTGAAGAAATTCCCAAAAGTCAACCCGGGCATGCGTGCCTGAAATTCGAAACCAATACTAAATCTAATGACCCATAACTTGCCGAGTCAAAATATATGATTAGATTCCAAAATCAATTCCAAATCGTCACTCAAATCTCCTAATTACACTCTCTTCAAGTATAGACAAAATTCCAAATTTTTTTCTTCAAAATTCCACGTTTTAGGTGAAGAAATCAATGAGTAATAAATATATAAAACCAAATCCAAGTGAAAAATCACTTACCTCCAAGGTAGTAGTGAAATTGCTCTTCAAAATCTCCTCTTCTCAAAATCTAGGGCTCAAAAAATATGAAACAACGGGTAAATTCTGAAATAACTACTGAATAAGTCTGCCCAGATGTACCCTTCGTTAACGTGGAAAACTATTCCGCGTTCGCGAAGCACAAAGTTATCTCCAACAAAAAAAATCTCCTTCGCGTTTGCGAAGCCTAGCTCACGAACGCGATGACCGGCACACCCAACATATCGCGAATGCATAGCACCCTACGACCGCGACACACACAACTCCCACTCTCCTTATGCCAACGCGGTCCAACACATGCGAACGCGAAGGCCTTCATGCATAGGCCTTCTACGAACGACATCCTTCATTGCAAACGTGATTCACAAAGCCCTCCAGCTGACCTAGCTCTTCGCGAACATGATACCTGGACCATGATCACGATGCATTACCTGAGACCAGCAAACCAACAATACAAACATCATCTAAAATGGTCCGAAATCACCCCAAAAGTCACCTGAGCCCCTCGGGACTCCAACCAATCATACCAATAAGTCCAAATACATTATCTAAACTTATCCAAAGCTCGGAACATCATAAATGACATCAAAACCAAGAAACAAAGATCAAGATCATTCTATTAACATTCAAACCTTCAAACCTAGCCGAATGCATCCGAATTAGACTTAAACATTCCAGTTCTTAACCAAACTTTGTACACAAGTTCTAATCAACCAAACGAACCTACATAAGGTCTCAAAACCAGAATATGGGTCCGATAACACCAAAGTCAACTACCAGTCAAACTTATGAACTTTCTAAATCTTCAATTGCCAACTTCGACAAATAGAGCCAAAAACTTCTAGGAACATCCAAATTCAAATCCGAACATACGCCAAGTCCAAAATCACAATTCGAACCTATTGAAACTATCAAATCCCAATTCTGAGGTTGTTTATTCAGAAGCCAAACATTGCTCAACCCTTCCAACTTAAAGCTTCCAAATTGAGAATCACTCCATTAATTCAAATCCGAACCACTCGAAAATCAAAATCAATCCTGCATAAGAGTAATAATACACCATAAAAAGCCGATTGAAGTCTCAAATCAAGGAACAAGATTCTAGAACTCAAAACAACTAGTCGGGTCGTAACATTCTCCCCCACTTAAACGTATGTTCATCCTTGAACGTGCCAAAAATCATTCCAAAGTCATTAAATTACTGTATAAACTCATCATACGCATACCAATGGGTGATCCCACATCACTACAATCCATATAAGTCCATTAGCGCAATCCCGACAGAAGCTTCTTTCTTCAACCTTAGCCCATAGACCTTAGAACCAATTTTTAGCATCCGGAATTCTTTGTAAGATTCGATTCTCGCACATAAACACCGTACAAGTCTCAACAAGCTGCATCAAGCCACAACCATATTTCCAAGATATAAGCACACGATGTACCAAATAACTCATGCACCCATAATGACTCCCCAAAATAACACTTCTCTTTCAAAATAACACTTCTCTTTCCTACTACACTACAGTCCCCAATCAAAGCTCAACCCAAGAGACCCTAACATGAAACCACATATGGCACGTAACCCAATCCAATACACCAATCCACGTGGTACCCTATGAACCATGATGCCCACAATCAACAAGCTCATGTGTATCAATAGCAAGCACACGAAGTGCGTGACCATAACCATGGAGGAACGGATAGAACAATATACCACCGACATAAAAAGCATGAATAGGGTGAAATAAGAAACTCGACACCCTAAAATCCATCTCGCTCAAGTCTTGCCACAAAGCCTGAACAGAACCACATCATGCGTGTGAATATTCAAATAGTCTCACAATCCATCGTATCATAATAGAGCAACACATGAAATAAATCAGGGCACGTATAAAATCCATTCCACCAGATGGCACAACCACAGTAACTGATGCTTAAGAGTGAACAGCCCCGATCTGATATAGAATACACATTCTCATTAGGCCTACCAATGGGCCCCAAATAAATTCAGATCATCCCAAAATAGGTAAATAACCTTTCAAAAGTTCATATTAACTATCCATAACATATACCATCAGCTGTCTAACTCATAGTATTTCTTCACAATTCACAACCAAGGAATAGATTGCCTCTGAGAACATCCCGTCTCTAAACTTTAAGAATACAAAATTTCCATATTTGATCCCAACTCCACCACTCAAATGATGGACACATCACTCATACACAATCACTCTACGCAAAATACTCCCATGAATCATCCGCGCCACGTAGCAAAACCTTAATATAAGCAGTCAACAATTGGGCGCTTACCATAATACTAGTCAAGCATCCACAAGTAAAAATACAATGCATGTTCTACAACATACACCCTTCTCGGCCGATACCAGATAATGACAACATTATCTTAAACATGTGAAATCATCCATATTGTCTAGAACTCATGACCTTCCCTTCGAAACTGAACTACAACCTTGTACATGCTAATCTCAATCCCACATGGCCCACCGTATATATCATGCTATCATATGAAAACACAATAATCCAATATCAGCTCTAGATTACAAGTACGATAGACAACCCATCAACCATAAGCCTTCACTTAGCTTAATCCCAGAGAACATCGCAACCGCAACAAACCTTAAACGCCAGTAGAAGACATCAACCTCGAGTTGTGGTCAAATCTATTATGAACTCTTCAGAAATTATTTTCACATAACCAAACCATTAAACTGAATCCCTCTAATTCAACCAAGTCACACAAATTGCCAAACCCAAAATTATTGCCACAAAACACCTGTAAAGCCTCACGATACCAAGGAACCGATCATTTTTATTACTATGCTAATCCAAACTAGCGCCAAGCTGACCCTATCTCTTGATTTCTCCTATATTACCTTCAAAATAACACTTCTCTTTCCTACTAGACTACAGTCCCCAATCAAAGCTCAAACCAAGAGACCCTAACATGAAACCACATTATCCTAAGGCACATAAACCGTTGTATTCCCTCTGAAGTACCCAATAGTACCACAAACCGAGATGCCCACTCTAAAGAGACCTTATATGAATCTGAAGCCGTTTCTTTCCTTTCCCTAATACTTAAATGTAGAATCAATGATGATATAGAAATACCGCAAGTTTAGGCAGTCTCAAATTTTGATCATGCACAAATCTCGGAACCCACAAACACCACTTATGAATCTTGAAAACATTAGAACCTTCTTGACAGTCATTCACCTTCCTCTAATCTGCCACGCACAGCCGATATGGGCCAAATGACTTGTGCTCCACAATCCTACAAATACTTCCAAAAGCAACCCCAACTTTATAAGACCAAGTGAATCCCTTCTCCTTGCACCCTACATCCATAAAGAATATCAAACCTGAATCATTCCAGGATGTATATATATATATATATATACACACACACATATATATATATATATATATACACACACACATATAGTACATCGTGCATTCAGAAATTTCCTTGCCCGCAATATCCTCGAAGTCAACCTCTTCAAGTCATAATTGATCCACTAGTATGTTCAGTCCAAAACTAATATAACACCTGACCATGAAATCTGATCGTTGATAGTAGACTCCTCCACTCGGCTCAAATTCATATAACATAACATCTGATAACCCACAATACTCCTCCTTCATAACTTCCAGGATCTTGTATTGTTATCCAACTTAATTCATCACAAGTTAATGTAGCACTAGTCATAAAACTCTCCAAATCATTTTCCTCGTGCATACTCATTGTCACACCTCCTTTTTACCACCTGAAAGGGATATATAAGGGAGTTTTTCATATTAAAGTGACATAAATCGAAATGGAATTATTTTATTTATTTTCAGATTCGCCACTTGGAACATTTATGGTGTCCCAAGTCCCCGGTTTATTTTTTTAAATTCCAAATCGAGAAAAATCGACTATATTTAAAAGTCTGCGAAACCAAAAATTCTGGATAAGGAATTCTGTTAACCCAGGAGAAGGTGTTAGGCATTCACGGGTTCCGTGGTTCTAGCACGGTCGCTTAACTATTAATAATTCGCCTAATTATCTGATTTATTACATGTTTAAAACCCATTGTGCATTTTTAACTTATAACCGCTTTTAATTATTTATGGATTTATTTCTGGAACAAGTCACGATTGTCGTACACTTGCCGTTTTGGAGCACACCGCAAACCATGCTACATGAAATGCACCCGCGATTCGCGACATGTTTATTTTATTATTGTTCAAATTTGTTGTGGTCGGGTCACATGAAATGCACACCGAAATTTGGGAATTAGGCATCATAACTATGTCACTGGAACCGTACCCATAATCACGATGGTTTATTAATCGCGGCTAAAGCAACACTACGATATTCATGAATTAATTGTTCAATTCCTAAGATTAGGATTATTATAAGGCTAAAATTGAGTACCGGGAATTTTAGAGGGCATAATGTGACTTAGTTAAAGCTATGGGACCAACAAACTATTTATGCCTTCATTACAATTCTAATGAACTGCACACATGAGGGATCGAGAAATCCCACAGAAAAAAGTGATTAAGAACCAAATTGGTGCTGGCTTTGCTCCTACACAAAATGGTAATAACTCTACAACTCTGGAAATGTATCTAAAGATGGCCTCCATTTCTTACTTCTTTTCCTTCCCCTAAAGGATCGAACACGAGTTTTTCCAGATTGGAGATCTTTAACATTATTAACAAGGATTTCTAGCTGCTTATTTGTCAATACAATCTTGACTTTCTGGCTCTTACAACTATCACCATTACTGGAATAGAATTACGAAACGAGATAATAAAGCTCTGCGTATCTTAGCTTCTGTGTATGCTGAGAGCAAATGCTTTTCTCCAGCACTTCATATTCTTCCTCAGAACTCAGAGCTTTTTCTTTCTTGAGAGACGGAGATAATACTAGTATATTAATGCAGTTTCCCATTATTAATTGCATGGAAATTAGGACAAAAGAATAGCTCAATATAGAGAGAGAGAGCTGCTATAATATGAATACCACGTCCTAGACAAAGAAACGTGCAGGCCATATTCAAGAGCTTCCTTTTTTGTCTAAATGCAAAGTTAAAGCATTGTACAATTTGCAGCAACAAGAAAGATTAAACTATTACATGGAAGTCAAAATACTACAATTATTTAAATCAACAAGACGAAAGAGAAACAATCTTTTAAATTCCCATATATCAAATTTCCATTCTTGAATTGTTTCTTGATATTTAATCAAAAATTTCACAAACACTCAAATAAGCTAAACATATACTCCAAGAAAAGATAAACCCACATCCAATTGTTTTCACTTTGCCACAATACAAAATCACTATAAAAAAAAATTTAAAAAAAAACAGTAGCAAATAAATAAATAACCTGAAATCTCGAAGCAAGCAAAACTCAGCAGAGACAAGAGCTATCCAATTGAGATGAAAACAACAACCAACCGCAGTTGAAATCGGAGGAAGAAAATTCGACGCCCAGGCGAATCGCTTCGAGATCAACAGTGAACCAACACAGCTTCGATTTTAAAACTCTATTATTCTTCCATTGTTTTTCAAGCTTTGTGATTTTAAGATCTTCATTCGAATTTGCAGCTTTATTTCCACCGTTTGTATTCAAATCGTGAGTGAGTGAGTAAGAGGGCGAAAATGGGGGGAAGGTTCTGAGAGAGATGAAGAAGAGAGGTTGTTTTTGTATCATTCAAGAGTGAGAGCAGAGAGCAGTCCTCCCTCTTTCAGCTAAACGGCGCTGGCTTCTTTCAGATCGGGGGAGGGGGGGGGGTCTTCATTGATCTCCTAAAGCTTTGATTTTGGGGTTGAAAATGGTATTGAAAAAGAAAATGGGAGCTGGTTTTGAGATGCGCCGTTTTTGCTTTATATTTTTTCTCCAGGGAAGGTCTTCTCTTATTGTCTAGGTCTGTGTGTGTGTGTTTTAGAGAAAAAGAAGAATAAGCCTTGGGAAGGAAAGGTGTTGTGCACCGTTTCCTCTATTTTTTGTCTAGGAGCTCTAGAGCTAATTTTTTGGGAAGCTGCCCCCTTTTAATGTGAGGGATCTAGGCCTGATTTTAGTAAATGGGTTTAAATGGAGGGGATTTGGGCCGGTTCGGGTCGGGTAGGTTAGAGAGGTGGGCTAGGCAGATATGAGGTAATTGGGCCATTTAATTTGAGCCCAATCTGGTTTGAATTTCAAAAACAGCCTTTTCCTTTACTTTGTTTTTCTTTTAATTTTAAAAATCTAATTGAATTAATTAAATAAGCTAAATAAAATCCTAAATTAGGCTCTAATTTAAATTATTTTGTAAAATTAACCTTACTTATTTTTACTAATTTAACACTAATTAATTTAAAACTAAAAGCTAAAATGTGGACATGACTATTGTAGTAATTTTTTTTTTGTAATTTTTGTTTAATGAATGCAATTAAATTATGAAATTAAATTCCTAAATTCAAATTAAACCTTAGATGGCATAAAATTTAGAATGTGACAATTTTTATGATTTTTCTATGATGATTTATTTTAGAATATTAAAAATGCATGAAATACAACTAAATAATTAAAAACTCCTAAAATTCACTAAAATTATTTTTGGTCTATTTTTAGGAGCTATTTCCATGCGGGGCAAAAATTAGGTGCTCACAGCTGCCCCTCTTTGCTCGGAAACATGAAGAGTTTTTGGGCAAAGATAAAGTGAACAACTACGAGCAATTTTTGCCCGTTTGAAACTCCATTTGGAAGCATTTTGAAAAAGTTTGACCGAACCTTGCTTTGGAGGCTGCCTACATATCCTTGGCTATAAAGGAATCAGGTCAGTGTAGTTCTGAAAATTTTGGCAGCTAGGACTACCGAGGAACTATGATTTCACTGCTGTTGCTGCTCTTTTTGCTTGTTGAGCTCCTTATTACACCAAAATGAAAAATAAAAAGCTAAACTAGCTAAGCCTATCAACTACGAGTAACAAGATTCCTATCTTTAAACCTTCTAAAGCTTGATCTTGAGTCTTGGCTGGTTCTTCCTGCATACTCTGATATGAATCTTGATGCTCGTTAGCTGCGAACGTTGGTTCATTTTTCTTCAGCTTTTCGGATCAAGGAGGGACATGCAGAGCATGTGACTCCGATCATATCTTGAGCCGTGCACATCTTTTCTCCGCTTCTACACTTAGAGCTCACTTCTTTTCTTGTTCTTATTTTCTTTTATTTGGATTGAGACTTCTTCTTTTGGTCATCTCAAACCATCGTTCCTTATGGTAAAAACCTATTAAGGCACCAAAACAAACAAACAAACGAAATTTTTCTGTCCCAGTTTTCATTAGAAAAATTTCGTGAGTTATTGTAACAAAAATCTAAACTACTTTTTTATTGAAAGCAATAAAACCAGGATTGTGTATCCTTGGGAGAAAAGAGATTAGGGAGTGAAGCCCTATATCTAAAATGAAATCAAATGGGGATCGGAGGTCCTAAGTTGGAAAGATTACCAGGTTATGCTGGCATCAACTAAGGAATGGGACCCTGTGCCGGAAAAGATTACCAGGTTACACTGGCAAAGCTAGGGAGTGGGACCCTATGTTGGAAAAAATTACCAGGTTATGCTGGAAAAATCATTGGGTTATGCCGGAAAGGTCCTCGGGTTATGCCGGGGAATTCATCGGGTTATGCCGGAAAGGTCCTCGGGTTATGGCGGGAAAGTCATCGAGTTATGCGTGAAAGGTCCTCAGGTTATGCCGGGAAAGTCATCGAGTTATGCCGGAAAGGTCCTCGGGTTATGCCGGGGAAGTCATCGGGTTATGCCGGAAAGGTCCTCGGGTTATGCTGGGATGCCGGAAAGGTCCTCGGTTTATGCCGGAAAAGTCATCGGGTTATGCCGGAAGGTCCTCGGGTTATGCCGGGAAAGTCATCGGGTTATACCGGAAAGGTCCTCGGGTTATGCCGGGAAAGTCATCGGGTTATGCCGGAAAGGTCCTCGGGTTATGCTGGGGAAGTCATCGGGTTATGCCGGAAAGGTCCTCGGGTTATGCCGGGAAAGTCATTGGGTTATGCCATAAAAGGTCCTCGGGTTATGTCGGGATCAACTAGGGGGTGGGACCCTATGTTGGAAAAGATTACCAGGTTAAGCTGGCATCAGCTAGGGATTGGAGACCCTATACTACCATGATTTTGAATTTTTCTTCTTTTCTTTCTTTTCAATTCATTTCATCATCATCATCATTTTTATTTTTTATTTTTTTTAATTTCAGAGAATGAGTAAATGCAGGAAAGAATTTTGGAGGAGACTTCCCTCTTTGGAGTTGTTGCTGCAAAGCTGTTTTTTAGCCCTTG